AGACAGCCTCTCTGAACAGTGAGTGAGGTTGGGGACACAGCCCCACTTGGCTAAGTTAACCCTCAGGACTAAGGAAACCAGAGCATGTAAAGGTAAGGTGGAACCTCAGACCTCTGCCTCAGGATTGCACTGCAACGCGACATTGAGTCTGTCATGGACAGTAAGACCCCATCTCCCTACTACTGAGATATTCTTTATGTTCCCAAAATATTTTCTAATTGCCAATTATGCTAGAAGGAAAAATAATAACAAGACATAGGTCTACCTTCCAAGGATGCAAATCCACTGTGGCCAGCAAGTTTGACTTGCTTCTAATAAGCCCCTTCTCTGAAATCAGAAGAAGCCAACCTCTTCTGTAAATAGCAACATTAAGACCATAGGTCCCCTCAAGAAGCAATCCAGGTCTTCAAAGAGCTCAGGACTAGATGAATGTTGGTTAATCAGACACTAAAATTATCTCAGAAATTTCCCCACCAACAGACAGTTAAGCAGAGAGTTAAAGCAGAGAAAATTATTAGGCCTATGCTACAAATAAGACACTCCCAACCCAGAGCTTGTATCGAGATCCAGACCAGCCGTGACTAGTGGGTCAGATTTTTTTCCATTGTCCTCTGAAACCACTTCTCCCAGCTTGCCACGATCAACTTCAGGTGAAAATTGTCAGAATCAAAATGGAAGCATTGTGGCCTAACATAGAGCATCATTTGAAAAATGCCCAGATATTGTGAAGAAGGCAATAGCATATCTGTAGGCCCAATAACAAAATATTCACAAAAGACACCTCTAGAACCAGAGCCTTCCATAAAGGCCACCACAACTTCACACAGACAATACTTCTATGGGAACACCTGCCCAAAGACTCTGTGTGTAACTTCTAGCTGCTGCTGGCCTTGTTGTTAATTCTTGTAGCTAATGGGTATCATCTTGAAACAGTTCGTGTAGTCTTCATTTTGCCATTAACAGCTTCCCTTTGCCTCAACTCCCTTAAATGCACTCATGGCTAATTATGTCACATATATTCCCATTTGGATCCTTCCCTGTTCCTAGTATTAAGTATTAAGACTTGGAGCCGCTCTGTGGCAGTGTTTTTCAGAGGAAGAATTCACTATTGTGCCTGAAAATATGTCTGGGGTGTCACTGGATCTTGACTTCGTAGATATTTTTCCACCATGATATAATCTCTAAGTGAGTGGAGGTCAGCGCAGTGTTAGCCAATACTTACTAAGAAGCCAAAAGTTATAAGGCAAAGAATGTTTTTCCCATAGGAGGTTGTAATCTGTGAGAACACCACCACAGAATGCAAGAGGACACACACCTGATTAGAAAGTAGTTGACGCTCCTTTGTGTGTACAGAGTATGGGCAAGGTCGGACAACTTGATGAGGCTGAGGTAAGTCTGACACAGCCAGAATATTCAGGCTTTGCCCCAGAGATAGACAATGAGAGATAGGGGAGAATGTTGCATTTCTGACAGGAGCCTTGTGAATTTGTTCTTGTCTAAGAACCAGGATGAGCCTCTGTATTCAGAAGCAGAAGGAAATCAAGAGCTACTCCAAACTCAGGCATGCCCCCCCACGAAACCATAAAACTCCACCGAAGTGGTGGAGAGGGCGCCAGTGGTTCTTGTTTGGGAGAAGGGAAGGATCTTTCATGAATGTGGACACAAAGGGCAAAGCTTACAAAGAAGTTTGAAAAGCCCCACTTAACACTCACCATATTAACCTGGGGTGTTATCGGGGTAATGTCAAGAAAGCTCTCCCAAAGGTGACAGTTCCTGCAGCTCAGAGACCAGTCACCCACAGTTCCCAAACTTGACCACACACGTAGTTCTGTGAGCAGCTCGTGGTGGCCTGACAGCCAAGCCTCACGTGTGTTTCAGAAAGAAGTTTGTGAAAACCCATGATGCAACTGCAGAAGCTAGGCTGACTGGGGCCTTCGGCTGCTCAGGCAGTGTCGAGGGCAGCTGCCCTCTAGGAACAGGAACAGGAGCTTGGGAAGTTGTCCAGGGGCTCAAAGGCTGAGCTACCCTTAGCCAGGGAAGTATGCTGTGCTTAGACGGGTACATGCTACTCCAGAGTGAAGGTTTTAATAAGGGGTGTGATTTCCACAAACCACGACTCAGCCTATGCCATAGGCCAGGAATACTGCAAGACATGGGTATGCTGAAATAAATGAACTGTTTCTGCCTTTTAATAAGAACCTAGTGTGACAAGAGACCAGCCATCAAATCTAGTGGGTTTTTTATGAGAACATATGCCTCCTTGGCAACCAGAATTCCTCTATTTTCTTTTTATTCTTTTTTGTTGCCAGTCCTAGAGCTTGAACTCAGGGCCTGGGTGCTGTCCCTGAGCTTCTTTTGCTCAAGGCTAGCGCTCTACCATCTGAGCCACAGTGCCACTTTTGGCTCTTCTGTGTATGTCGTACTGAGGAATCAAACCCAAGGCTTCATGCATGCTAGGTAAGCACTTTACCACTAAGCCATGAATAATTTCATTAGGCAGAGTGCCTGTGGTTTATGTCTGTAATCCTAGCTCCTCAGGAGGCTGAGATCCTGAGAACTGTAGTTCAAGCCAGGTAAGGACATAAGTGTCTGAAAGACTCTACCTCCAAATTAAACAACAAAAAATCAGGTCTAAGGTAACAACAAAATTAAACGAATAAATGAATAATACACTAAAAGTAAATGGTCTAAACACATTAAATAATAGATAAAGATTGAGAGAGCAACAGAAAGGGTGACATTGTCCAAAAAGAAATTTATTTTTTATAATCATAACCCTTCTGTACATCACTTTTATAATAATAATAATATTAATTTTTAAAGAAACTTGTAACTCAGGATGTGACACAATAAAATCAGGTTTTCCAAAAAGAAAAGATAGAAATTTTTAGCTCAAATTAGAAAAACAACAATGATTTGTTTATAACAATAGGTTGTAAGGTTAGGGAACTTGTGGCTAACACTGTGTAAATAAAAAGCTGGAAAGAGCATTGCTTCCATTCTATATCCAACAAAAAAAAAATCAGAAAACCTACATGTTCACATTTCCTGAATCTATCAGAGAGCTGAAGGCTCAGTATAACCATCTATTGCAAACTATAAGGAAAGGCAGGAGAGCAGGGGTGGGCATTTGCCTCCGGGATTGGATGAGCTACCAGGCAGACGAGTGGAATGAGTCTTGAACCACACTGCGGGCCATCACAGAGCTAGAGCCTGGCCATTGTGGTCACAGGTGCGTCAGGTCAAGCTCCACTGTCTTCTCTGTACCAAACCAGCACAGAAACAAGCAGCTCCCTACCATTGCTTCCACCCCATGAAGACATGTACTGGCTGCTTTCCTCACACTTTAAGCATGCCTCTACTTTTCTTACTGGACCTCAGTTTCCCTCCCTGAAGACCGTGGGCATGTGTCGCTGAGGTGAGTGTCGAGGTCCATGCATGCTGGGTTTGTGCTTCCTGCCACTCAGATACAGTCTGGTGTCTGTCTCCATCTCCACACTTACCCAACTGATAGCATCCAGCTACCTCCATGGAGCTAGATTCAGGAGCTCCTCGGAGCTCTCAGCAGCGTTTACGATTGAACACCTTAAAATAAGTTATTACTGGGGCTTCCATGATGAACTCCCCCCTCCCTCGGTTTAGCGACTTGTTCTCGGCAGAAACATGGCATTTGGGAGCTGTTTGTTCCTCTTATGTTCAGAATTTGCAGGTATGTCAAAGACCCAAGTCCTCCCAGCACTGGCTCAGGTCTCTCCTCAAAACCCAGGTATCCCTTTGCCACAGAAAAATGCTTCAGCTTCACCTTGAATTCAATATGCAGAGACAGTGTGCAGAGGATGATATTCCCCACGAATGTCATCCTCATGTAGTATTTCACCGCGCTGAAGCATCACCAGCCATCCTTGGGAATGACTTAGAAACCCAGATGGAACCTTTCAGACATTCCTTTCCTTCATTCTCTATACCTACTCTATCATAGAATTCCACTGATGTCATCTCTCCCACCTGGGCTGTGGAGCTGAGCCTTGTGGGCTCCCTTTCCCACCTCCACATCCACCTCTGCCACCTGCTAGAAAGTTCCATCCCCTCTCCCCTGCCCTTCCCATTCACAGCTCTTAAAAGAAAGCAGCATAGTTAAAGGCTCCACATGATATGAGCCCAACCTGCCCAGTACTTCAGGTCACCCCGGTTCTCCCCATTCCCAGGGCCCCAGCACCCTCTCTGTCCTAGGCCTGCTGGGACCCCTCCTTGATCATCCCTCCGGCTCTTTCTACAGACAGAAATGCCGTGGTGGTGTTTTCTCCACCTCCCCTGGAAAAACCACCTCCACCCATCATCTCTCAGCTCACAGTCCATTTTCCTAAGGGATGCAGCTCTGTCCTACCCAGGTTGAAGACACTGGCTAAACTCTGGGCTTCTTTTTCATGATAGTTTCAATTCTCCATCTGTTGTCTGCTATTTAATTATGAGCTATCACCTCATCAAGGGGGGGAATATGTCTGAATTCATTTATTTGTCACTATACCAAGTGCACAGGTAGATATTTAATAAAAATGTATTTGAATGACTGAACCATGCTGCATATATTTAATCTTAAAAGAATCAACATGTCATATTAGCAGTAACCAGGAACTGGGAGGTCTTATAACAGGTTATGTTTTCCCACTGGGTGACCTGTGAGAGGGAAAGCTGGTGTCTCCAGCATTGCCTAATAATCCTCACAGGTGACAGCAGTGCTTGTTCTAGCTGGCCTCTGAAAGCCATTCAGGTTTTTCTCATCAGCCTCAGAATAAGCTTAAAGCATGTGCATTAGGCAAGAGCAAGACTTTCCAAAGACACTGTCCAGAGAGGGTTTGAGAAGGCCCTAGAGAGTCACTTTTTCAGTCAACAGTTTCACGGAGATTCCACTGACAGGTGTGAAGCACTTAAATTCCAAAACATCTTACAACTTGGCCATGGCACAGAAAGGAAGCCAGCCCCACCAGTCCAACGCAAGTTACTTTCCAATCAGTCTCTGGATTCTCCATCAAGCCTAATCCTAGAGAAGTTCAGTCACATGATTCCAGTGAATTCACTGTATAACAATTGGTCAGTTTCATCAATGACTAAGTTGATCACTGATAAAATCATGGGGTGAGAGCTTAGTCAGTTCTGTCCACTACGATTTCCTGCGGAGAGGGAAATATATTTACGCTTCCAAAATAACACCCTTAGCCTCCCTTGGTCACTGAGCACTAAATATGTGGTCCTTGCAGCTGAAAAACTGAACTCCAATGATGTGGAGTGTAAATGGCTTTAACCCAAGTAGCCACCAGGGGCCAATGCTATAACCCCGAACTGTGCACAACCTCACAGATGGAACATGGGGAGTTTGTGGCACATAAGAAGTCCCTGTTGGTTAGCCACCCACAGCTTCCTCTCTCAGGAATTCCCCACATGATCTCTGCAAGTCTGCGCATCCCTCCAATCCCCTGCTCCCCTGACTGCATCCTGAGAATCAGGCTGTAGGAAGTCGGGCACAGGAGGGCTCGGATGAGAACTGAGGCCTTGCACCTCTGTGAGACCCAAGGACAGCAGGCAAGCATGTCTGGCCATCAACCAACGCTTCCCTGCCTCCACTCTGTGGACCAGGAAGACAGGAGGAGGCATCTTGACTTCTGAAGAAGACCATGAGCCTCACTTACGACCTTCTGCCTCTCTGTGACATTCCCTCCTAGACGAGCGCTCCTTTACTTCTTTCTGAAACTGGGCTCGCTGGCCAGCTTCGTTTTTCACTTATAGATGGTCCTTGTGGCTTCAAGTGGGAGCAAAACTAGTTAACAGTGCAAGACTCTTTTACAGGATGTAAGTTAAGTCCATTAGGGTTGTTTGTGTGTTAAATAAACCTGAGAGATGCATATGTGTCATATGAAATACACAAGCACACAACTCAATCACCTAAGCAACATACATGAGGTCAGTGTCCTAGGCCCAGTATTTAACTCAAGCAGTACAACCACACATACAACACACAAACATACACACAACTCCACCACCGGAACACTCACACCCACGCCACCCACTCCACCTCCTACAAACACATACTGCATTCCTACACAATGTACACATGTCATCATACCACAGAACTACACCTCTTATACCCACACACACCTCTACACACAATGCCTCCTACACATGTATCACACACACACACACACACACACACACACATTCACAGATTATTGGGCCATGCTTTTGAAAGTTTTTATCTTGACCCTGGACCCTTTTGCTTTCCATCTGTCTGTCTGCATGTCTGTCTGTCTCCCTCTCCCTCTCCCTTTCCTTCTCTCTTCTCCCTCCCTCCCTCTCCCTCTCTCTCCCCCACTCCCTCCCTCTCTCCCTGACTGCCAAGAAGCTCACAGCCACCTACTGCCAGCCCCTCGCAGCCTCAGGCTCTGCTTCACCCCAGACCCACAGTGCTGGAGCTGAGACCATGGACTCAAGCATCTGGAATCAGCAGCCAATCAATCTTTCCTACCTTAAGTTGATTACATCAGCTCTTTTGTCACAGGCTCTGTTATGGTTCAAAGAGTCCTCATTGTTCCTGGAAGGAGGGGATCTCAACATTGAAAAGGAAGAGGCCAGAACAGGAAACTCACCTGCCCGCCTGGGCTGTTAAAACCTGTGCACCTGCCCCACTCTGCCCAGGAGGAGCTGGATCTTTCCCTGGCATCCACAGCCTTTGAGAGTCTGGACCTCTGCCACCCACTGTCCTCTCCTCTCCCCTCCCCTCTGCTACCCACTCTCCTCTCCTCCCCTCCCCTCTCTCCTCTCCCTGTCTACCACCCACTCTCCTCTCCTCCTCTCCCCTTCTACCACCTTCTCTCCTCTCTTCCTCTCCCTTCTGTGCACCAGACTTGTGGCTACCCGAACCATCAGGACCCTCTGATCTTTGGAGTTTGCTCCTTCCTGCTCCCCTGGCTGGCTCTGGCTGCCCTCCCACCACCACTACCATACAGATGCGCGCCTGGCCAGCTGACCTCCCGCTGCTGTCTGAAAAGTTGCTTGGCCATGGCTGTCTCTGGGGAGCCCCCGAGGCCCGCAGAGCGGAGCTGCTCTTTCCCTGGCTCTCACTGCCCTCTGGGCCAGGCCTGGGCTGGCATCGGGCTGTTTCGCCTTCCTGTCCAGCCGGGGCTCTCTGCAGGCGAGCAAGCTGTCCCCTGCCTGTGGCCTGGGGTGGGGAGCACAGTGTCCTCCACTGAGGACAAGTGTCACAGTGCCAGCCCTGCATCCTGTCCACAGCACACGCCCCTCTGCGTCCTTTAGGTCGCTGTTGTCTTAGAACTTGGAGAAAACAAATCTGAACACTAAAGAGGCTAGAACGTTGCTGTCCCCTCAGCCGCTCCTGGGGGGAGGAGGGGGTTAAATCCACAGGGAGGCAGAGGGGGCAGGAACCTCCAGCTGTAATCAGAGTACTGCCCGGTGTCCCTGGGGCCCCCCACCTTTCCTGGGGGCCCAGAGATTTCCATTTTTTAAGTGGCACCAACACATCCCGTTCCTTGTTCTCATTCTCATTTTCCCCATAGATGTTCAAAAAGGCTATAGGCAGAGAACCTCACACATCATCGCTCTGCGGCTCTGCGGCAGGTGCTTGTGCTCACCGTGAGCCCTGTTGTAAGTCTGAATGCAGTAAACGTCAGGAGGTACAACCCAGAGAAATACTTATCCTCGGGGGCTCTCGACAATCCACAGGAGGGTGAGGAGCTCCTGTGACCAGAACTCTGGAGAATGGGTGCCCTGGAGACATTGGGCATGGCGGGCAGACCAGGGTGGGTCCCAAGCTTTAGACACTAGCCTGTTGCTGGGTGGTGACTGTTGCGGAATGGCCACACAGAGCAACAAGGACCCTGCCAGCAGTTCCCACACCGAGGACCTGCAGGGAGTGGAACAAAACCAGCTGTTAAGAGATCAAAAGGGACCAGTGCAGTAACACACATCTGTAATCCCAGCTACACAGGAAGGATAGGTTGAAGAATCATGGTCTGAGGCTGGCCAGGGGGAAAATCACATATGAGAGTCTGTTGGAAAAATAAATGAAGAAAGCAAAACTACCTTCAAAGCATGACTCAAGTGGTCGATGACATGAGCCTGAGATCAAAGCCGGGTACCATTAGGAAAAAGCTAAAGACAAGAAAGCACAAGGAAGGAGGAAAGGAGGCCTTGGAGAAGGGAAAGGTCGATCTGTAATCCTGCCTTACTTGGGAATCCAGAGTGGATGCTTAGCCATCTCCAGGAGCCGGTCGTTGACATTCTGACAGCAGTGTTGCCTTCTTGTTGAAGATCCAGACTGCCAGCTGCCTTTGCTGTGTCAAATAACCCTGAGCCGGGAAGGGGGTCTGGAGGAAGAGTCATCCATATCCGGGAAGGATCTTTCAGAAAGCCTGTGTGCCTGGCAACAGGAGGGAGGCAGGACCCATTTGCTTCTGGGACTCAGATGGCTTGTCATCAATCCCCACCAAACACAGCAATTTCCCCAAGCTGCCTCGAGGGTCCTAACACATTAGTCTGTCAGATTTCACTGAAAATGTCAGTAAGATGACGATCCTCCGAGGCCTATGTCACAATAAAACCGCCACCAAGAATGCCTTGTATCTTCACACAATGATTCTAAATTCATAATGAGGAATATATGTGTGCGTGGATAACGTGGGAAGAGGCGATCTAACTAAATATTAAAACGACTTTTAAACTAAATCAAGCTAAAGGCATTGTGGTATTTGTGTACACAGTGTCATCGATTTAAAACAATAGGAGAGGACAGACAGCTACAGAAAGCATACCCTTCCCTGTCCTAAGATTTGTACATGACGTCTTCAGTACAACCACCACCTTGCATCACAGAGGGAGGTGGATTATTCTGTGTGATTCATGTTCAAGAAAACTGAAGAGCAACTATACCTACATTTGATCTTTACCTCGTACCTTACAACAAAGATTCGTACTTTGGGCATTATATAAGTATGTTTTCTATTCCTTCTTTGCCTCCTTTCTTCCTTCCTTCTGTCATTTCTTCCTTCCTGCTTTGTTTCATTTTCTTTCTTTTTTTTAAGTACTTGGGCTATCTCTGCCACTGAGCCATGGCTCCAGTCCATTTTTGCTTTAGTTACATTTCAGATACAATCCCGTGTACATGCCTCTTATTCATATTTCCAGCTTCTTTTTGGTGGGGTTGAGATGGGTTTCCCTAGTATTGGGGTTGCCATGAGCCATGATTCTCCCCACATCTGCTTCCCCAAAAGCAGGGATTACAGGTTTGAGCCATTACACCCAGCCTAGAAAGAAATTATAAAGGAGGAAAATGGATGCCCTGAGCATTGAAATGATAGAAAACAAAACCAAAAAATTATTACTGGAACGTTTGAATGATGCAACAACTGACATACCACCACATAATAAAGCAGATGACACAGAATCAGTGCCCGTAACACATAGTGAAAGGTAGTCTGCCATCAGCAATAAAACGGCTAAACACTTTCTTTCTTAAGTAGATGAGGATGAGTCAAGAGAGAAGTCACAGGACTATCACCAGCGGCAATACATTTGAAGAGAGATTCAGCTCGTGTGTTAGCAGGCAGCAGTGTGTGGTACCAGCAGCACGCAGGTGTCCGCCCTCAGGAGAAAAACTGGGAACATTGTATCAAGAATCTTGCAAGAGGCGACATCCTACTCACATACAGATTCTAATTTTATTATGTCCATACTGAAGCATTGTCTTCAACATTTATCACAAGAAATAGGCAATGCTTGATATTTCTGAGCCTCCCTTTCTCAGCTGAAAACTAGCATTAACAACATACTTGGTGGACAAATGATGCACACAGACCACGCGTAATAAGACTTAGCACACAGTACACACTTCCGACGAAGCTGACTCCCCACCCACCTTGCACCTGGGAGAGTCTGAGAACAACATCTCACTGTTTTTGATGCTGCTCTTCCTGCCAAGGACACCTGCTGCCCGTGGTCTTGCAGCTACCAGCAGCCGCCCCAAAGCAACTCTCTCTCCAGTGCTGGCCATTGTGGATGTTTGAGTGTGCGCACGACAGTTCTGCAGTTGAGCCTGCTTCATCAAGATCGCAGAAGCTTGCTTCTTAGCATGGATATTTGCGGTCATAATTGCTCATGTCTAGTTTCCAGTACACACGGCAAATAATTTTGCAAATGATATAAGCACAGGAAGGAGTCATGTAAAGATTCAGAATATGTATGTGTGTATAAACACATAATAGATTATAGATTATGAATTCATAAACCTGTACCTACATACTGTTTTAGTTTTTGGCAGTACTGTGGTTTTGAACATAGAATCTGGCTGTAGGTAAATTATTGGAAGGAATGTAACTTCCTGTTTAATTCATTCCTGCTTGAGTGACAGATACTCTACCATTTGAGCCATGTTACCAACTCTTTCTCTTTTTTTGCTTTAGTTATTTTTCAAGTTCTTTCATCCCCCCACCCCTCCAGGGCCAGTCTCAGACTACGAGCTCTTTATTCTGCCTCCCAAGTAGCTGAAACCACAGCTGTGGTACCCTGCTGATCGCTTGTGATGGGGGTCTCACTACATTTCACCCAGGCTGGGCTCAAACTGTGATCCTCCCAATTTCTACCTCCCAAGTAGCTGGAAGGTAAAACATGGTTCCTGGCCAATAGTACATACGTTATATTAATTATAAACATATAATGAATTAATAGGGCATAACAAATGCATATGAGAACCTAAGTAGGTATGAGGAAATAAGCCACTCTCTGTAATCAGATTCTCAACTTTATCCAGTAGTAAAATTGGAACCGCTAAGGTATTTCAAAGTATATTTGCATTCAGCATCTCAGAGGTGCATATATGTCATCACATGGGGTGTATGTAGAAAAGAGTTCATACTTACATCTGACAGTCCTAGTTATTAATGCCTACTAATCTTCTGATATAAAATTTGAAATATCAGTACACATTGGTAAATGTCTTTGAAAATGTGAGCACAAAGAATATACCCATAGGTAGATTACTGTAGGGAGATTCATCTACATTTTGGTTCATTCATTTATCAGAATCTCAAACATGAAGCAAACATTTTCAAAGTCCTTAAAAAACCCAACACACAAATGACTCAGACTACAGATGTAAAAACAGAAATGTGACTTTAATACTATGGCCCCTTACAAAGGAATTTGGAAAGAATTGAATCAAAGACGTCTAAAATAAAACAACTGATTATCAGCCTACAAACAATGCTTTGCTCAGATATTTTCTGGGGGATTTTTTTGGTTAATTTTAAAACCTCATTTGAACTAGTGCATTCTCCCTTGATTCTCAGAATCATTTATCGGATCATTTACCTATGAGAGGAAAGCTTGATATGTCAGCATTGTTGTTAACCTTCTCCTGTCCATACAGTAGTTTTTATTTCTTTAACTTCCAGAAGATTTATATTTGGAGGAAAGAAATTCCCATCCCTGAACACGTCAGCCTAACCACAACACCAAAATATCTCACCCCTGATATACCTAAAACTCAAACTAAGCTGTACAAATGGTTCAGCCCAGGTCAAAATGTTGGCCTTGTCCCTCTGAAACTAGTTCAGAGACATTATTCATCTTGGTTTCTTCTGTCTCTTTTCAAAATCAATCCCCTAGGCTGCTCAGTAATAAGAGGAGGTGAGGTAAGCCACTCCGCTTCCCAATTAGAGACCTGGCTGTGGGGAAGGAAATAAGCTCACTCTAAAATAAGCACAGAGGCAAACACTCTTTGCTCCCAGCTTTGGC